CCAATTCAAGACCATGCGCTTTAGAAACTACTGCAAGTTTACTTGCACTTCCGGTTCCGTATGTTCCAGGGCCTAGGGAGGACGCGCGCGGCCGAGAGGCCCTGGGGACAAGGATGTGGGTGGACTTGATCAAATTCCCTGACTCAAGTTTAAGTCTAGCTATTGACTCGACTCGACTTAAACCAATGACTCGACTTGACTCGAGTGAAACTGCTGACTCGACGAAAGCCACTGACTCGACTCGATCAGAAACTGAAATGACTCGACTCGTGACTCGACCTTTGATTGACTCGACTCGTGACTCGACCTATATATAGGTGATTCGTTACAACACTGATAAGATGTCCTAACCTCTTGCAGAAAGTATCAGTTTTCCCTGTTATTAAAGTGTTTTATACCAATCTCGATTGGTTTAACACAATAAAGGCCACTCTTCAGTCCGTCCATACATGCGTCAATGGCCACGCACAGATTGCACTTGTTGATTTTCACTAGTGCTTTTCGTAAACTTGACTTTAGCTTTAATAAACCAAGTGTTTTGGCTTAGTTTTCGAGTGCAGGTTTTCAGGTTCTTAGAGTCTACAAACACTTCTCAAATTTACTCGAGAGCACAGGGAACAATAGCTTGAAATCGAGGCGGACAATGTAATCCATTCTAATAAATATGTAGCCAAAACTTCACAGTTAACGCACATATGCATTCAGGGGCGTAGGAAGCTTCAAAAGATTGGGGGGAGGGGGCACTGGCTTCCAGGAGCACTTTAGGATATTGAAAAGGGCACCAAAAAAATTTTTCCCGGAAATGTTGGCGACGGGAGGGGGAAGGGGGGTTCCCGCCATACCATACCGAAATTGCACGTGTTTGACCACATTTTTTTACCAAACAAAAAGGGCACATTTGATATTAATTTAGTATTTACAGCGACATTAGCTTGCTGGGGTCTTGAAAAAAACGACGAATGAGCAACGTCTGATGGCGCCAGTGACAGATGGATCAAGATTCGGTGGTGTCGGGGTTTCCATATGGTCGTAATGGTCGTAAAAATAGAGTCTCACGATCTTTCTCAACGGCCAGTTTATAATAGTGTACACCTGTAAACCAACTAAAATGTTGTATTTGGGTTGATGAGAAAGATCGTGACTCAATCTTTACGACCGTTACGAACATATGGAAACCACGCTTAATGGTCGAGCGCAGACCAGTCTATTTCACACCCTATTCAGATTACAAAAATACAATAAATATATAACAAATTATTTTTCATGTGGAGGAGAGTTGACTTATAAAGAGCGGTTGTTGGCCTTGGATCTGTTGCCGTTGACATTTGACAGGGAAATTAAAGACTTGGTGTTTCTATACAAAGCTTCATTTGGCTATTTGAACGTAGATATCAATAACTATTCACCGTTTGCACTCAAAACCAATTGCAACTCGCAAGAATCGCAAGCTCATTGCGAGGTCTTGCATCTAATTAAAATAAACTGTCGAGCGTTGTGATTGGATAAAAGTACTCGCAGCGAGCTTGCGAGTAACTCTTTCATTAATTATGGCGG